TATAAATGTAAATTCTTGTTGTCATGTGTGTGAGCTTAAGTTGTAGCAATTCCTTTATTCTGGTCGTATGCCCATATTTTGGTTGGTTTGGAGGGCAGAGAAGGTCCCAGTAGTTTGGTCCATTATTCTTGCCTGGCTCAGATCAGGTCACTATTTTTTACTTGTTCCTTCTCTTTTAGTATGACCCAGAGATGTTTCAACATTATGGGTATCATAAAAATGCAACTAATTTTAATTATTATTTTGCAATCATTCACTATGAATACTATACACAACTGCATTTTACTTTCATGCTTGGACGTTCTAATATCTATTTTAAGATAAATAACTTGACAATTTTAGAAGTTATTGTTGGATAAGATATTTGTCATAAATAGATCCCTCTTTTGTTGTAGTAGCAGTCAAGCCAAACACAAAAAAGTCAATGGTCTAAGACTTAAGGGCATTAAATTCCTTTTCACTTACTATCCTCAGTTATTCATGGGTGAAGTAGCAATAAAACAAGATTGCACCTTGCCAAAGGACAATTGCTGTCTTCATCTTTCATATAAATCAAATGCTGGGAAACATATATGACTTTATACAAAGTCTAAGAATGGCTTGCAGTTATAGGATGTTTTTCCCTAAATACACTATGACCTTGAGTGATGGTGCAGTACTGTGGGTAAATTCTTTGACCTCTAAAATTGCCATTCTGCAACTAGCCACCAGGAGGTGCAAGAGATCAAGATGAAAATAAGGTGACTACACTTTACCAAGTTTAGGGTGACAGTGGGACAGAGGGTGGGTTTGTAGCTTCAGTTCTGAGGTTTGCTTTGCTCATGATTACAATTCAATGAAAAACTTTAATGCCTCCTCATCATAAGACACATTAGTAGAGAACCATTATAACATGGGGGAAGGGTCATAAAATCCCAACCTGGGCTATAAGAGGGCGGAATAGCCAGTCAGTACTTTGGTATTAATCGTGCACGAGTGTAGAAAGTTGCTAGCTTCATCGATGTTGAAAAATGCAGTGTGCAGTAAGTGATGTCCTAAACATCAGCCATTTTGGCTTTTCACGCGCTAGAATTTGAAGCAGTGACTAAAATTCTGACTAGTTTACTTAAATACAGGCAATCTCACAATCAGATCATCCTCACTTCTCTCTGAAAAGCAGCTATCTCCATTTGACAGAGGCATAACCTATAACCCCATAAACGCCTGCACTCAGTCAGGGAGAAGAGGGGAGAATGTGATCTATGATCCATATTCTAACCCCTGCAGGGTCTCTGGAGTGAGTAGCCCCGGCCTCAGCTCCTGGGCTCCACCCACTGCTGAGAGTACAGAGCTTTAGAGAAAATAACTGCATCACCGTGAACTCACGGCAAGTGTAACAATCTAATTAGCAGATAGGTGAGGTCTACTCTAACTCAGTTATTCTTGGCAACTACTTTGAATAGACTTGCTCCACCCACTTCAACTCAGGCAGCCGGAGCTTTGCCCTCTTTGAAAAAGGCTTGATGGACTGAATGGCATCTTGAAGAAGGCAAGGGAGGGGGTGAGGTGGAGGGACTGTGCGATGGAGTTCCAGAGTGGCAAAAGGCCCGCCCGCCAATGGTGGGGTGAATGAGGAAGGGTACGTGAAGCAGGCCGCAGCCCGCTGAGCAGAGGAAGAGAGCGGGATGGTAGGGGGTTAGGCGGTCACAGAGGTAATGGGGAGCAAGACCATGGAGGCCTATGAAGGTGAGGACCAGGATCTTGAACTGTATCTTCTGTGTGATGGGAAGCCAGTCCCTCCTCTTCGGCTCTAGATTTGACCCTTTTGCAGTGATAGCCAACGAATCCTGGCGTACACCCCAGACGGTTGATACTTATCTCTTTCGCAAGTCAGTTAAGATTTGCAAGATATGATCTGGGGTGGACAACAAACCATGCTATCCCGCTGTAATCAAGTTGCCATGCTTACAATTCACCAATGTGTTGCAACTTTATCTACATTTTTTCATTGGCCCCCAAATCTTTCTCTAACCGTTTTCCTTAATTTTTTTTAAAAAAGTAAATGTTTACATAGGGCAAGAAATAACACATCTCATCCAAAAATATGACTGATCCATTGGTCTGTGTGCTACACAAAAATGAAAGTACATTAAAAATGAAATTAAGACTAAGAGATGAGATTTATCAATTATATTGAATCAGAGACAGTTGCTCATATTAAATGCATTTTCTCTAAAGTTTAATGCATTTGTCTCAACAGAGCAATCCTGAACATTACTTTCAGAATGATGAATGGAATCATGATCTCAGCAATTCAGCTGATGAGCCTGCTTCTCAGCACCTTCATTTATTTCAATGACAAGCCGAAGCTGATTGGAAACAGTTACCTGTGATAGACTGCAGTCTATCATAGGCTTTACTTAGTTACTATTGAAGTATGTTCGTACTGAAAGATCACTTTATCCTGGATTTGAGTCAAGTATATAGATTTGAAAATGGCTTTCATTACATGCCAATTGGATCAGAAATGCCTGGTAGACAGAGCTTTCTGAGGGTGGATTTAATGAGCTCACTGCATCCCTGATTCTGGATATTTTTATCAAAGATAATAGTGCTCAAATATTTCTCTACCTACTTCAACAATCACAGATATGTAAGAATTTGTATCTGTACAAATCCATATATGTGGATTAACAATATAACAAATAACAACTGCCTTTGCAGCAAACATTACAGATGTATTGCCCACAAGATCACCTGAAAACTGATTTCATCCCTCCAGAACAACAACAACAAAATTACATTTGTATAGGACCTTTGACGTTGGGAGAACACCCAAGATGCTGGACGCTGGACAATCAGTGTTTTGGACCCGAGCTGGGGGTTGGATCGAGGAGGGTGGAGGGCAGGAGGGGAAGGAGGGTGACCGAAGGCACGGTCAAAGAGGAGGGTCTTGAGACGGGTTTTGAAGGAGGCAAGGGAGGGGGTGAGGCACAGGGACTGCAGGATGGAGTTCCAGAGGATGGGGGAAGAGTGGCCGAAGGCCCGCCTACCATTGATGGGGCAAGCAAGGTGGGGGACGTGAAGCAGGCCAGAGCCCGCTGAGTGGAGGGAGCGAGCAGGTTTGTAGGAGGTTAGGAGGTCGCAGAGGTAGGAGGGAGCAAGGCCATGGAGGGCTTTGAAGGTGAGGACCAGGATCTTGAACTGTATCCTCTGTGTGATGGGAAGCCAGTGGAGTCGGGCGAGGATGGGGGTGTTAGGGTTGCGGAGCCTAGTGCGGGAGAGGTCACAGGCTGCAGAGTTCTGGATGACCTGCAGCCTAAGAAAGGGAGGAGTTGGGAAGGCCGACAAGCAGGGATTTTGCGTATTTGAGCCTGAATGGTATGACAGTTTCGGCAGCCTGCTGTGTGACATTGGCAGAGCCATTGGTGTTACAGAGGTGGGGAAAGGTGAAGCGGGTCATGGCACAGATGTGGGGTGGTAAGGATAGTTGAGGGTCAAACAAGATGCCAAGGTTCCAGACTGGCTTAGTAAGTGGAATGTTCATCTTACTAAGAACATGTCCTCTTCTGTCCCCCATCACAGCATCAAACTGCCTTTTAAATACCAGTGTCCTGGCCTCAACCACTCTTCCTGGCTAATCTGTTTCACTTGTTGATTACCCTCTGAGTAAAAAAAGAGACTTGCTGGTATCCGTTCTGAAATTGCCCTTTACAACTCTAAACCTATGCTCTCCTGTCTTGGTTTACTTTTTCATTCACATTTAACATTTTATACATCTCTATGAGGCCCCTTCTGAATCGTCCTCTCTCAAAACTGAAGCCGAGACCACCAAAATGTGTAGAGAGCCAGGGAGAGTTTATAAATTCATGTTACTGCATGATATGTTTCATAAGAATCCAAGTAATACAAGCAAACAAGAAGATCCATAAGTCTGATTTCTAAATCTCTTCACACGACACTAGGAGACTGCATAAGAATGGACTCTCAGGCCTCACCCAATGGCGTTCTAGGACTACACATTTAACCAGTCCAGGTGACTTGTGCTCTGTCCTCTCTCACATGGTACAGCCAGGTCCTACCCTTCCATGGGGCATTGACACACCAGATACCCATGGATTATTTTTCAAATAAAAGGAGTCGAGTAAAAGCTTTGTGATTCTGACTAGGAATAACTAAGAATTGGAGTCTGCTTCTGCCATCTGACTGTTCAGGTGGACATTAACGATCCCATGCCACTATTTGAAAAAAGTGAAGGGAGCTTCTCCCCATGTGTTGGCCAACAATCACTCAGCTAAAATTAATTATTTACTTCATGTCTACTTGTTGGACATTGTTGTGTACTAATTAGCTGTTGGATTCGCTTACAAAATACACGGTCACTACATTTTACAGTAAAGTCTATGAAGTGCCTTGAGACATCCTCCTGATGTGGAGTCCTGTAGCTCAGTGGTTAGAGCACTCGCTTTGCAAGTGAGAGACAGAGCTAAGTTCAATTCCAGGCAGGGCGAAACCTTGGGCAAGTCTCCTTACTCCACACGCCTAATGATAATCCCTCCAAAAAAAAAAAACAATAATAAATTGGTCATTTTCAATCTACGACTGTTTGTGGGACATTGCTGTGCGCAATTGGCTGCCGCGTTCGTCCACAAATATGCAGTCAATTCACTTTGCAGTATATTCTGTGAAGAGCTTTGGGACGTCTAGAAGACGTGAAAAGCGCTATATCAAATGCAAGGATTATTATTATTATTATTATTCTGTGAAAGGTGCCATATGAAAATCAAAGATTATTATTATTATTGCAACATGGAATCAAGTCATGTTTGGGGGCCACAGAAACCAATACCTATAATATCAAAATAATGCTCACGTATAAATAAACATGCATATCTAGAAAAACTATTAAACTATGGAGCTCATTATTTTGGAGTCCTCTTCTCAATAAATCTTCAGGGAGACTCCTATTAGAAGTCCCTAAATGATATGACCCTGTGATATGCAATGTGTAATTAACATACCTTGTAGTGGAAAAGGAACAATCCACAAAAGAGACTGTAAATGTCTGCAGTTAATAGGGAGAGGTTGACAGCTGTGGCACTGGTTCGCTTAATGACCACAGGCATGAAGCTGTATAGACCAAACATACAGGCGCTGAAGCCAACATACAGCAGCCCTAGAGAGAACAGAAAAGTCATTAGCCCTATTGAAAAGAAAAGGAGACATAATTTATGCAGCTCAACACTCATGGAAGGTAGCTAAAACTGTAATGTTTCATTGACTCAATCGCCAGGGTGTCCGGTAGACCAATTAATGAACAGTTTACTAAGTTGAATGATTGCAACCCAGAGCTATCTGGTACAACTCTGCATAAAAGGAATTTAAGGTTTGAATACATATTATGCAATCTGATTAGCTTGTTTCATTTTTAATAAAATTGCATAATTTTGTTTTTGGAAATGCTCCAGTTATTAGAAATGGAGGAATCGTACTCCCCCCAAAATACCACCCCAAATCATTGCTTGAGTAAGCACGCTCATTCAGTTAATTTCATGATTTTATTACTCAGAATGACAAAACATGATAGAACATGCTATAGAATTATAATTTCGGAACATATTGCTGAATATTTTCAGCTTTATTGCAACTATTATTTTTGTCTTGAATATTATAAGCACCAACGCAACCTCTGTCAATGATTTTTTTATTAGATGGCTCAACCACCAAAGAAATGCACATTGTGCATCTATCCATTTCTTTGCACAAAGACAGTGTGGTGTTGTGATGGCAGAATAATGTGAACCATGTAAGTGTACATGTAAAAACATAATGGAACTTGAACCAATATATAATGCAGGATGCATAGAGAGTTATTTAGCCTCAGTCAATACATTTACTGCCCTTTGACATTTCCATTATGATGGTCACCAGTCATCAATAAATTTAAACAATATCTTCATGTAGAGAAACTTATCAAGAGAGATTTGGAGGTGGATGAAGCGGTGAACGTGCAGAAAAGCTGTCATGGTCAGGGACTGGATGTGAGAGAGCAAAGAGAAGTGAAGATCGAACACCAAGGTTGTGAACCAGTTCAGTGAGTTTTGAGAGAGAGAGGCCGAGAAGACTGAAGAAGTTGGAACAAAGAACAAAGCAATAAAATCATAAAATGTGCTTTATTTCATTTTTTCTTCAAAAATAGAAAACATTTTAGCTTCCATATGTGTTAACCTGATCCAAAGATCCTACTGCACTGGATCTCCACAGTGTATAAGGCAATGAACATTGAATTGGATCACTCAGTTCTTGTTAAGGCAGCTCTGCGCATAGTCAATCTTTGAACTGAAGATGTGAGCACCAACTTCGGCTGAAAATGTAAGAGCTTCTCCTTCCCTTAGACACATATCAGCTAAATTGTGCCCTCAAATAACAATTCCTTTTTTTAAAAAAAACACAGTGTGTTAAACAATTCTCCTTTGGGTATAGAGTGCAGTGGGAATGATGCTGAAAACAGAAGTGCTCAGGTCTGCTAACACTTTGCTGTGCATTAAAACAAACCCAGGGAATGCACGCAACCCACAGCAGGTCAATCAGCACATGAAACAGAGTAAGAGTTTGACATTTCAGCTAAGCCCAAAATAGCATTGCTTCTTTCCCTTCCAGAAAGCTGAATGATTTAATGTGGATTTCGAAGATTTCTGTCTATGTTTCAGCTTTTCAGCAGCTACAATTTTCCATCCCCCACCCCATTGCTGTCCTCCACTGGATTGACTTTAAGATACTTGTTCTAACTTTGAAATATCACTCTTGTCCCACTCTATGTCTATTGCGATCACTTGCAGTCCTACTTCCTCACTCACTCCCTTCACTCAGCCATCTCTGAACTTCCACACGTCTCCTGCCTTCTCTGGCCCACCATTGCTGGACAAGCCTTCAGTCAGCTTTCCCCCTTTTTTATGGAGCTCTTCCTAAATCCCTTCCCTCCTTTCCACTTTCAAATCTTTTCTAAAAACCTACTTCTTTGACTGCATGTATGGTATCAATCTCTGCCCGTCCCCCCACCCCCCTAATCTTTCACTCTGCTCAGGCTCTCATTCCAATTCTGTAAAGTGCAATGAGTCGTTTAACCACGTGAAAGGTGCAATGTAAGTACGAGTTGCTTTTAGTTCTCGTCTTTTATGTACTATTTCTTATGCCATATCTATGCAGAAACTTTTAAACTTCCTGGCAATATTCAACCTAGTATCTTTTGCCCCTATCCATTAGTCTCTCTGGCCTTGTATCAACCTCCTGCCATGAGAGGCAGTCTGCTGCCACTCTCTGCCAATCCAGTACTGCTCTACATCCAAAGTCTGAAAGAGATTTTTATCCCTCCTTCGCCCCCTGTGGGGGGTAATTGTTTGGTTTCAGCTTGACACCTCTTCCTGAGAGTATGGCCAGGACCGGAGACAAGTTGCGTGTGCAACTGCAGGCACAATTTGTGCCTTGCTACTTCATCATACAGAGCATTGACGCTTCACACACAACAGTGCCATGTTTCAACTTCAGACAGGGAGACTGAATTTGTGCTTGTTCTGCTGTTATTGGGTGATAAATTCCATGTCACACTAAAGTGAAATATTGTCAATGTGTCTGGAAGAATTGATCAAAACAGCTGTTGTATAAGATGGTCGCTCAGTAACCGTTTCCATGTCTCCGTGACAATGTGGCAATCTGACAGATCTCATTAAACAGACGTGCACTGCATAGCACCAGCCATAAGTTTATTCAACAAATGTGATTATTACGTGAAAATCATCAGAATATGAAGTGAATGTGAAATTGTCTCTACTATACTATTCTTCTCCATTTTATGACATTCTCCTCTTGTCAAGATCGCTAGCAATGCATCAGCACAGTGCTAAGTGAAGCTAATAAGGTAATAATGCTTGTTACAGCTCACTACACTTTGCATGTTTCACAAAACATGTGTTTCAATCTAATTTGCGTATACCACCATTGATAACTGAAAACTACCACAAAAGATAGAAGAGAGTAAAATAAAAGAGAGTATCTTGAGCAATTATCCAGGAATTCCGATTTCAGTAACATTATGGCCACTTTGAATGGCAAATCTTGTCAACTGGCCAGCATTCACACTGCAGTACATCAGCTCAGCACTGTACTGTTTCAAAGAGAATCGTTGCTCTTCATATCATGAATGCCTCGTTACATCTTCACAGAGATATTCCTTCATGATGACAAAGTGACTGCGCACCAGAACTGCTGCTGCTGGAATACTTTGGGCACTTCAGCAATAAAGTGAAACAAATGTAAAGCAACTCATGTTGTATTGCACTGGTAGCTGATGTGTAGGATGTTAGCCTGGCTCAGTTGGTAGCATTCTTAGCTCCTGGGGTCAGAAGCAGCAAAAAAAACCAGAAGAAGCAAAAAAAGCAACAGCAGACGAAAAAAGGAAGAACCAGGGAAACAAAAAAAAACAGATAGACAGGAAGAAAAAGAAAAAGGTAGGAACAGGCAGGGAAAAGGGCTCATCCATGAGATTGAGGCACAGAAACAGATTGAGAACAAAAGGGATTCATTACATCCTGACCAATAAAAATAACAATATTGTCATTATGTCTTTATGTAATTTCCCATTGTAAAGATGTTGCATAAAGATTTTAGGGATGAAGGTAGGATAACACCAAAAGATTAAAAAACATAAAAGATTCTTCCAATTTGATAATTTCCTTCATTGAAGGCACTGGATCGTGTTTCATGATCGCAGGTAGTCTTCTGCTACCTCGCTCGAGTGCCTATTCTACAGCTGCTCAACCTTGGGAAAGATTGATCCCCATCTTCACACTCTCTATCCTTTTGGTAAGGTTTTGAAAGAAGAAATCCCATGTTAAAGACTTGCTAGTGCTAGCGATTAGTGTGTGACAGATCCCTTATATGTTTGAAAATCACAGTAGTCTGCCATGCACAGACTACTGAACAAGCTTTCCAGTTTTAAGCACCAGAAATTAATATAGCTGTTCACTCATAAAATATTTAACCATTATTGAGCAGTTGTGAAGTGCTTTGAGATGTGCAATTATGTGATAAGGCTCTATATCAAATGCAAGGATTATTATAATTATTATTATTTTGAGAGGAAAAAAACTTCATAGAACATTTTCTTCAGATTGCCTAACATGAATGAGACTGGCATTAACAAATGACAACTGTCAACTCTTTTACAATTTGAGGAGCAGACCAGAATTTTCCAATCTATGTAATAAACTGGCACCGCCTTCCACCACCTCCGGAACATCACCAGACTACGGCACTACCTCACCCCTCACGCTGCTGAAACTCTGGTCCACGCCTTTATCACCTCAAGGCTGGACTATGGGAACTCTCTCCTCGCCGGCCTTCCCGGCATCTCCCTCCACAAGCTGCAGGTCATTCAGAACTCTGCAGCTCATGTACTGTCCCGCACCAGGCTTCGGGACCACATCACTCCCACCCTCACTCGCCTCTACCGGGCTCCCCATCCCCCAGAGGATCGAATTCAAGATCCTCATCCTCACCTACAAGGCCATTCACGGCCTTGCTCCCTCCTACCTCTCCGACCTACTATCCCCCTACTTACCTGCCCGTACCCTCCGTTTCTCTGGCTCTGGTCTGCTCCACATCCCCCGCCCTAACCACCCTACCATCGGTGGCCGGGCCTTCAGCCTCTCAGCCCCTAGGCTCTGGAACTCCATTCCCCAGTGCCTTCGCCGCCTCCTCCCTTTCCTCCTTCAAGGCCGGTCTCAAGACCTTTCTCTTCAACCGTGCCTTCAGCTCCCCTCTCGACTCTCTACCCCCTCCTCGCTCCCTCCCTTCCCTCCCCTCACCCTGACCATTTCCCCCCTGCTCGGGTCCTGACCCAACTGTTCAGCACCTTGGGACATTCTCCTGACGTGAAAGGCGCTCTATATAAATGCAATCTTGTTGTTGTTGTTGTTGTAAACTATAGTAATGAAACCCTGCATCTCTTAATAGAAACATTTGAAATTGGATTGCATTGCCTTTCAGATTGGATTATAAATAATCTACGTTCATCTGACCTAAACAGCCTCTGGCAGATCCACATTCAAATGTATTCATTAAATGTGTAACATTCAGTAAGTCATTTCAATTTTGTACATACAATAAGAAGCAATATATAGGAATGAAGATTCTCTACCAATACAAAAGTAATGAATAAGAATATGTGAAACAGATTCTCACCTATTTGCCAATCCCATGGTACTTTTAACAGTTCCTTATGTTCCATTATAGCCCTGCAATAAAAATAAAGATTAAATTATTCAACAACTTTGCACTTCACACAGTTGTAAAGAGGTTAGAATTATTATTGCAAATTGCCACTAGAAAAATACTAAATGATGACAAAACTTCAACATGTTTGTCCAACCCTACTAAGACAATTGCATGTTTATGTTTTATTCATTGTTAGCACTTGTGAGTAACTAAACATGTGGCAGTACTTCAAGTCTGACCACAATTGCTAGTAACTAAACATATGGGAGCAATTCAATATATCGAACTTTATGAATATTTAAGCATGTAAATTGAAGTGTGGACTGGCCGTTTGGGAGTATTTAAGTATGGGGAATCCTTCAATTCAATATCTTAACCCTTGTGAATATTTAATCATAGGGAATAATCTAGTGTTAGCATTTGTGAACAATTAAACACTTGAGATAATCCGGAGTCTGCACTTGGCTGTATGTTGACTATCATTTAACAAATACATGAAGGTCTCATCTGCGACCCGAGGCCTCTGTAGTGGAATTTCTTTAGAATTCAGGTTAATTGGGGCAACACATAAAATTCAAATTATCATACACTTTAATGTCACTGACACATAATTAGAAATTTACTCATAATCTATGTCAATAATTATAACAGAATAGGTACTACTATTTTTCTGTTCAAATTGTTTAGTATTTAAGACTGGGTCTTAAATATGACAATAAGGAACAGAACCTTTAGCATGAAATGAACGTGTATGGAATACACTATGCAAAATAGTGAAAAGTAGGATGAAAGCTGCAACTTAATTTTGAGGTTCAGATATGTTTCCAAGACTCTTGACTTTCACACTTGTAATGCATGTCATCTCTTCTCCCACAATTACATTTCAACTTTGGATTTCAAATGCTCAATCGCCAAATTTTATTTATTTATTATTAAAAGTTTACGTGAAAAAGTTTCATTTGTGCTATGAAGAGGCAAAATAGCCATGTAATTTAAAAACATACGAAAGTGTGGAATCTTAAAATATCATTCAGCTTGTCATTCAGATGAAACAGTAAACCTAGGTCCCACCTGCCTGCTCAGATGTTAAAGAACTCACGTCACTACAGTATTTGAAAGAGGACAGACCTTCTCCCAGTTCCAAAGAAAAAAATAATCATTCACTTAATGGCTAAGTGTGGGACACTGCTGTGTGCAAATCGGCTGCTGTGTACAGCTACAAAATATACAGTCACTATACTTTACAGTAATTCCTGTGCTTTGAGGTTCGGGTAATAAGGTGCTATATGAAATGCAATGATTATTATTATTATTTTTATATTCACATACTGCACAAAACCTGATGATAGATTGCACCCCATCCACTCAAATCCATTATAAGTTCTGTAGCTCTTTGGTTAGAGCGCTCGCCTTGCAAGCGAGAGGACCTGAGTTCGATTCCTGGGCAGTGTGAAAGGTTAGGCAACTTTTCTTTCTCCACACGCCTCTGTTTACCTAGCAGTAAATAAGAATCCAGTTGCTAGTCGATTGGTGGATTGCTTTTCTAGGGATAATAATCCCTCCAAACAAAAATAATAAAAAAAAGTGGTCACTCAATCCACTACTGTTGGCTGCCACGTTTCGCCCGGAACATACACAGTCAATTCGCTTTACAGTATATTCTGTGAAGTGATTCTTGAAGACGTGATAAGATGCTATATCAAATGCAAAGATTATTATTATAAACAGGTTCCATCAATCTAAAATTCCTAAGAATTAGCAAAAAGTAACAGTTAGATCCCAGTATAATGAAACAATTTCCGAAGTACTTTTCTCCATCCACATACAGTAACAGAAGTGGCACCTCTGAGAAAATAATCTTATTAGACAGCTCTGACTTCCATTTCCTGACTTTTAGCCACTCACTGAGTTGCTGTCTTGTAAGACATTCACACTGTGTTCTATCCTCCTTATAATTTAATCAATGCCATCTATACATGTTATACACCTATCCTGATGCTTTGCAATTCATAGAGTTTAAATAGACTTATTTAGTTATATACAAATTGAAACATGTATTTTATTGTGTGTATTTATGTATAATGTATTAATCTAAAAATACTTAATTCTGTTGTATAGCTTTTTTTCTGCATGAATTTATTTCACTTCAGGGGAGTTGGATATGATTTATGTTGTGGTCTTTTTAATAATCAGTTCTTTTGAATTCAGAAGCACTTATGTTTGGGTTTGTGCAGTGAAGTAACAGCTTGCAGCATGAAGTAGATGGTGCTAATTAATAGGACTGACTGCTTTTTCAACTACCCTTCACTGGTAGAAATCTAAATTTAGATATAAACAGGCAATATGTCTCCCGGATAGCATTAACCTATATGTTTCACTCAATCAGCAATACTTGTAGCAGAATTGTGAAATGACGAGAGCGGGCAGCATTTCATTCTGTTGAGTGTGACAAAAATACCATCACTAGAGCTGGTTATTAACAAAACTTTCTCAGATTGTCCTGGAGTATTCCAAGGAAAGAAAGCCTCTCTCTTCCCCAAACACCATTAAATGTATCAAGCGCTTTGCACTATTTCTAACTTATATGAAATGCATTATCTTTTGATGGCATCAATAATAGTATGATAAAATCCATAATAGGAATGCCTGACACCTCTTTAAGGATACACAGGGCATTAATCTTATGACAAGATCACAGAATTGGTTTGGAGCCCATCCAATCTCATCCTTCCAGAACCCCCAACCTTCCACCATCACTGCCTCAAGTTGCATTGCCTTGAACTCTTTTTCTGTTCCATTAATTACCCTTTGAGTAAAGAAAAACTTCCCAGTATTTGACCTGAAATTGCCGTTTATGACTAAACCAATATCTTCTTTTGCTACTGTTTTGTTATATCCAATAGTATTGATCTGGGGTTACTTTTTCAATGCCATTTTACATTTTATCCATCTTTGTGAGGTCCCCTCTGATGTGTGTTCTCTCAAACCTGAGAGCCCTAGCTTGACTAATCATTGGTGGAAGAGGCTATTTTCTCCTTTTAAAAAAGTTACTGCATTTATTACACAAGATTCAATTCTAAGAAAATTCTGTAAATTTGCTGATGCAAAAAAAAATATCCTACCAGCTCTCCTTATTCCTAAAATAATTTCTTTTTTTCCATCTTTTGAAAATGCATTTTTAGCTACTATAGGTGATAAAGATCCCCAGAAGTAATTTTTGTCTGGGAAATGCATTAATTGTATTGTCTCTAATGTTTCCCCAGAGTGTAACGTGCTGGAATATCATTGGTGCAAGTCACCTTCTATTTCAGTAACAAAAGGACTCTGAACTTTGATTTACAATTGAAATCACCTCCAAAAGAGTCCATTCCCCTAAAAGCCATTTCTTCGAAGGCAATTTTTTCCCAATCACCTGGGCTATGCAATCTTAACAAAGGTATTATATTTGACTTTTTCCAGGTCACTTAATAATGTAATAACTATGCCTAAAACATACTGCCACAACCAGTAAGAGCACCCCCGAAGACACTACCTGCATTAAAAAGCATTCACAGAATATCATCCCGATTCATTTTATACACTGTGAGGCAGAAGGCGATCCCTTCAGCCCCAACATACACAAGTGCCAACTCTGTTGAATTTACCTCATTCTGATATAATAAGGCTGAATGAATCCTCCCAATCACCACCCAGAATCTATAATAAAATGAATAATGCTGACATTTGATATAAAGTATTATTAATTATCGTATCAAGATACTGTATCTCAAAACGCTTCACACATTGAATTTCTTTGAATTATTGTTACATTGGTAAATGCAGATGTTAATCTGCTCCAGCAATATCCTTTAAACAACATTGAAATAAATGAACATTTTTGATGAACGTGGATAAGGGGGATTATTGGTCAGGTCATGGGAATTGATGAATGTTGAGGAGAGTTAAAAATGTTGCAACGTTCAAAAGGCTTTTCTGTGTCCGACAGTGCAGCCATTTCCAGTGCTCACTCACTGTGTATCATAGAGACAAATACGTAAATTATTCCCTGGTTGGGTCCTTCCCTTCCTTAAAAAGAATAATTATTACAGTGAGTCAAAAGGCCACGCTAGTCTCTGTGTTTATAACTGGGGCAATCAATACTGCAACCTTTTCATGGCTCAAGCACTAATCTGTTCCACGGACTTGGTATAAAGGAATAATTGGATTGCTTTAAGGATTTCTTTCATCTTCAAGCGATAGTCAGGTAACTCTCTCTATTCCTCTAATAGTAGAGTGAAATCTTGTTTCCTAAAAAAAAGCACATTTAGCATTTGCTTTGTAGAGTACATTTTAATGACTTGAATTAAACCTTTTGAATTCAATTGTTATTTCTCCATGCTTAGTAACCATTTTTTCATTTGATTTCCTAATTCCACATATTAAATTTCTTACTTCAATTTTCCTCATAAGACCTACTAATGATTTCTGAGAGCACTTCCACATTCAAAATATATGGCTTTGGGAACCTGGTGAGAACAGATAAATATTGTTATAAATAAATATTGTTTCCAAATAAAAATTTTCTCTTCAGCTTATACTGGTACTTTAATTTCCACGGTCCATTAATTAGCCATGCAACTCTAAAACATCCATGGCATCCCCTAGATAAGAAATAATATGTATTGTGTCTCTAATGTTGATATATAAGCACAACTTACAGCTGAGAATGCAAAAACTGTAACAGTTTGTTTAGCAATATAGGGACAACATTTGTGGTGTTCACTAAACATAGCCTATGTTTATAGTCTACAGTGCCATAGCCTGGCTTTATGGACAGGAATTAATATTTTCAGAATTAGTAGTTTAGGAGAGACTTTTTTTTGATAAAAAATTTAAGTATTCCAATCGTCCTCAGGTAGTTTAAGAGTTACCAAAAATATTTTTTTGCCCCAATCCATGACTGTTTGTGGGACACTGCTATGCACAATTGGCTGCCGCGTTTCGCCTACAAAATATAGTCAATTTACAATATATTCTGTGAAGCACTTTGAGACATCTCAAAGACGTGATTAGATGCTGTAACGAATGCAAGGATTATTATTATTATCGGGGTAGCTTTTCCAGATAGCAGTGACAAAATTGTAAGCTCTAAAGACGCATTTCCATCTGGAGCACATGGAATGAACATCTAAGAATTAAAAACACTTTTTAACAAAGACAGTACATGCACGCTCAAACATTGGCTCTGGTGTCAACACTGGAGCATGATGCAATTTTTCAAACTCTAAAATCTCCATAGGTCTCTAAATAGATGTGCAAAAACTTAGCTATCAATTCCCAAGGGGCTATTCCATTTCCTCTGGTAAGCCAATTATCTGTCCATCTGCAACCAGGGTTCCCTCTGCCACCCTTGTCCTCCTTTATTTCTCTGCTGCCTTCGACACCGTTGACCACTCTATCCTCATCCACCGCCTCTCCTCTAACCTCAACCTTCATGGCTTTGTCCTTGACTGGTTCAGATCATACCTCTTGCACCGCCTCCACCATCTCCACAAATGGTTTCTCCTCCAGCCCCCGCACCATCTCATGGGCTCTGTTCTTGGCCTCCTTTTCTTCCATATCTATATGCTCCCTCTTGGTGACATCATCCACAGGCATGGGATTAAGTTCCACATGTATGAGGATGACACCCAACTATACCTCTTTGCCTCCACTCTTGACTCCAGGACCACTGCTGTCCTGACAGAATGTCTGTCAGACATCAAGTCCTGGATGAGAGCTAACTTTCTTCAGTTGAACGTCAACAAGACCGAGGCTCTCCTGATTGGCTCCCATCAGCGCCTTCACACCTCAGGCGCTGACAGCATCACTATCCATGGTTGCACACTCCACCTCACTAAGCCAGTCTGGAAACTTGGGTTCTTGTTTGACCCTCAACTATCCTTTTTACCCCACATCTGTGCCATGACCCGCTCTGCCTTCCCCCACCTCCGCAACATTGCCTGGTTCCGCCACTGTCTCACAGCGCAGGCCGCCGCAAATCCCTCATACACGCCTTCATTACATCAAGGCTTGACTATGTAAACTCATTGCTTGTCGGCCTCTCCAACTCCTCTTTCCATAGGCTGCACATCATCCGGAACTCTGACCCTATCATCCTTATCCTAGCCTGACTCCACTGGCTTCCTATCACACAGATGTTACAGTTCAAGATCCTGGTCCTCACCTTCAAAGCTCTCCATGGCCTTGCTCCCCCCTATCTCTGCGACCACCTAACCCCCTACCAACTTGCTTGCTCCTTCGGCTCAGCGGGCTCCGGCCTGCTTCACGTCCCCCACCTCACTCGCCCCACTATTAGTGGACGGGCCTTCTGCCACTCTGCCTCCACCCTCTAGAAATCCATCCCGCAGTCCCTCTGCCTCGCCCCTCCCTTGCCTCCTCCAAGACCCATTTAAAGACCCTCTTCTTTGACTGTGCTTTCGATCACCTTGCTTCCCCCCCTGCCCTCCAACCTCCCCAATTCCAACCCTCAGTTTGGGTACGAAACTCTGTCTGTCCAGTGCCTTGGTATGTCCTCCTGATGTGAAAGACGCTATACAAATTAATTTTTGTTGTTGTTGTTATCTTCATATTGCTATCCATATGTCTCTTCCCCTGGTTATCCAGTTGTGTTCCTTACAAATTTGCAGGTCCCTGTAGGTCACTCAACTGCTGAACAGTTTTCTCTTACAGGTTCTCAAAATTTACCAGATGATATTCAACCGGCTCAACTGCGAAGAAAAGCTTAAAATGTTCTTTTCTCAATCTAGTCATTTTAGCACAGATCATTTAGGCTACAAAGTACACAATCAGGACATTGCACAGTAAATCCTGTGAAGGGCTTTGAGACACCCCTTTGACTTGAAAGGCACTATATCAAATGTAAGGATTATTACTATTATTAATACCACATCTTAGTTAGGCCAGTATCGTCTTCACAGGATATACTGTAAAGTGGTGTGAGTGTGTATTGGTGGAGGAATACGGCAGTCCATTTGTGTACAGTAACGTCCCATAAACAGCCATGAAGTAAATGATCAATTTTAAACTTCCTTTTCTTTTTGAGTTGTGCAATAGGATTTTTTACAACCCCTGAACAAGCAGATGGGACCTTGCTTTAACGTCTCATTCAAGACACCACCAATACTACAGTGCACCCCAGCAATACACTGGAGTTCCAGTCTCCTGGTACCTGCAGCGAGTGGCCCGATAACATGAGCTTCAGCCATTTTTTCACACACTTTCAGAAACCATTATCTCCTATATCAGTTGTATAAATTATTTGTATCTTAGCTTTTTTATAAATCATTTCAATTAAATTAGGCAAGCTTTGTGCTGATGGACCAATTGCAAAGTAGCCTCAGGGCACAGATACTGCACTCATTTAAAATAGGTTGAAGAATTTCAGAAAGCTGTCACATAAGCTTGTTGAAAGAGGATTGTTGTCTCTTTATTTCAGCTGTATTATATAGGAGGGCAACGTTTGTTGAACATAAAGCTACTTGGGGAAGGGAAGTGGAGGGCCTGGGTGGTACAGTGAATTAATACAGTGCACTGTTGTTTCCTTTCTCATATCTCTGGTGGAATCCAGTCCCGAGTAACAAGCTGAAAGCCTTCTGTGCTGGCTGTGACATAAAACTGGGCAGTATGCACTATGCAGGCACAGTCTCCACTACATGGGCTGTGACACACATCACAAAATTGTCCAGAGTTCAGTGCAAATTGACACAAAGTTGAAAAGCAAAATAATGCAGAAGAAAATGAGATGCTAACATGCCATAAAATGTCAGAAGGATGATTGGTAAGAGATGCTTGGCACACTGAAGGAGTGTGTTTCTGAGATTCCAGTTAAGAAATGTTTGGGTAGAAATTCCACTCTACTAGTAGTTGAGCAGATTAACTTTACTAATATGGCATTTTAGAGCTTCAAGAATTTGGCAAATTCTTAAACACAACCATAATTTTGAAGCTAGTTTACTGCAAATACTTTTAAAGATGTTAAGCCTGAATTCAACAATTAGATAAATTCCAGATCTATTCATTGCTATATAAAATAACTACTTGCTCAACTGAGCTCCCGTTTACATTCATCTTCTGAGCTTGAGTCCTTGCCTTCTTGTTCAAACATATTGCTAGGCCTCAGTTGATCCAGAACAGAGCCACATGAAAAGAATTGGTTGTTGATGACAAATTTAAGAGTAGCTGTAATTCCCTGTGTAGCCATAGCTTACAACGGCACTCAATACAGCTGTCTTTAAATTGGAATACAGTAGACCCCAGTGTGCATGATTGAGGTGATCTGAAGACACACATGCTTCGGGCCAAAACCTTGTTTCAAAATTGTTTGGCCATCATCTTGGACTGGCAAAATTCAGGGAAAATTGTGTTTGAGGACTGCCTCACAGATGGATCTATAATGTGAAGAGTTACAGCATTTGACTTGAGGGGGTTCTTGATGTTGACACTGGATGACAAAAGCAAAGAAAAAGTGTGTCTAACCCCAGAGAGAGGTGAAATACCTGAAAAGATAACAAACATATACAAGTGAAGGCAAATATTTGTTAAAGGATTTACAAGGCAGTCTAGAATCCACAGATCTGCAGATTGTAGATCATCTTGGATTGGCAGATCTATAGATAGAACCTATGATTTGCCCACAACATATATAGTCAATTTATTTTACAGTATATTCTATGAATTTTTTTGAGACGTCTGAAGATGCAATAAGATGCTGTATCAAATGTTAGGATCATTATTACAGTCAAAGCAGCTATTGCTGAAAGGTTAAACTCACAGCTGTATACCACTGAAGAAAGACCCAAACAGTCCAATCATTCCTAGAAACTCCACCCTACTCAAGTTCTTCACAATGTATTCCTCACAGATATTGGAAATTCCATAGAGTGTAGCACCTGCTAACACTAGCAGATCTCCAAGAAGCTTGTTATCACCTGGTTAAAAAAAGAAACAAAAATCAATGATAGAATTAGATTTATTTCCGCGCGCTAAACAACCTTCCTGAAGAGTGCTCGTAACCAATTTTTCTTCAACAGTTAAAAAAGAGAGACCAGAGATTATCTGTCTTGATAAATTCACAGTCCTGATAATTATCACGTCAAATCTGATAGGAAATGGCAACATTTGAGTTAGGCTGGATTAGGATCTGAGCTCCCATTCCCTAACTTCACACAACAATTTGATATGAAGCCTGGTTTCAAAATTGTTCAGCCACCATCTTGAATTGTTGCTTAGCGACAGAAAGACTAAAGTACTTTATATCAATTCTGGAGGCGGCATCGGTATCTTAGTTTTACAGAATACCATACCAGTTGAGTTAAGCCTGTATCCTATTTTTAGCTGTACAAATACACCATTCTCCGCAATCAGGAGTACAGATAATCTTTGAACCCAGTCACTGTGTGAAAGCTGCAGGGTCTTTGAGCATAGTGATTGTTTCTGCAGCAGCAGATAAGTGGTAAAACTGTCTCTGAGGCGGTTAAACACCTGTTTATACAAACAACGTCAAGAGCTCATTATCACCACTAGATCCCATACTGAAGGAGTAGTGGGTGTCCACACTAGATAAATGGAGATCATACTGAGTTCCAAATTACAATAACCATTGCAGTCAACCAGATCTCTCTGCAGAATCACACAGAGGACACAGATGAACACTGAAACTAATTTTACCACAGTCTCATGTTCATTAATACGCAACTAGCTTTAACTGAGATACAACATGAAATTGAGTCTTTGATCTCACATTGAAAATCGTGAATGTCTTCCAATATACACTTCAGTGCTATTTTCATTACTGGATAATATAAAGCATGTAACATTCCAACATTAATATATACGAACAGTCACAAAGCATATTCTTCACACTCTTACACAGTATTTTAATTTGTAAGTAATTTGTAGCATTATGGTTTATAGTATTAAATAACATCACTCATTGCATTATAATAGCAGGATGATTGTGAGCTGTGTGAATGTGAAGTAACATTGACACTTGCAATGCAGTGCATCTTGTTTAGGGTTATGTGCATTTGGTCTTTTTAGTTTTAAAATACTGTAGATCGTAAATATAAAATTCAAACCTCATTGTCCATGAAAATGATTAATTACCATTAGAGAGCTGCTATGCTTATAGAAATAGATTATAGAAAACTCATAGAAAGACTGACAAGAGAGAGAGAGGGTGACACAAATGCACAGAATTGTGGAGTCCTGTAGCTCAGTGGCTAGAGCACTTGCTTTGCAAGCAAGAGACCTGGGTTTGATTCCTGGCAGGGAGAAACCTTGGGCAAGTTTCCTTACTCCACACACCTGATAATAATCCCTCAAAAGAAAACAATAAATTGGTCATTTCAATCCACAACTGTTTGTGGGACACTGCTGTGCGCAATTGGCTGCCGCATTTCTCCCACAGATATACAGTCAATTCACTTTACAGTCTATTCTGTGAAGCGCTTTGAGACATCTAGAAGATGTGAAAAGCACTATATCAAATGCAAGGTTTATTATTATGCAGGTTTGTTTTCATGGTAAAATAAAGCAAGAGAATTGCAGCCTGACAATTCTCCAAGTCTAACAAATTGGGTCCTGTATTTGGATGCCAGTACACTCACTTGTCATCAAGGAGTAAATGGCAGTCCTGGTTTTGGCTACTTTGGACAATATAAGACCACTCTACTTTAGTTTCAATATAATATTAAACAGTAAACATTTATTGATAGTGGGTTAATGGTGAAGAAAGCAGTTTACTTGATTAATACCCAGATACTCAAGTTAGAGTTCACTCCGTGTCTTTCCAATGTACTAGAATGATGGTGTGCAGAAACCTTGCTTAGACAGCACCTTCCTCCCTGTCTTCCACCATCCAGTAGAACAAGAAGATCAATAGCATGTGAACACTAGCACCTCCAGGTGCCTCCAGAGGTCACTCAACATCCTGACCCGGACATAAATTGTTCCTTCATTCACACTGGATCAAAATCATGGAACTCTGTATCCAACACCATCGCAGAATCACCATCGTCACAAGGACAGCAGAAGGCACACCAACCACTACCTTCTCAGGGCAAGCAGGGATAGGCAATAAATACTGACTCTGCCAGTGTCACCCACATCCCAAGATGAATACAAAATAGAGCAGAACCCTGTTATAATACAATAGTTGAGATCATAAAATCCCAATGACCATTATAATGGGGCATGATTACCAGTTAGGGTTTCCACATTCACTGTTCATGTGTGCAGGACATGATGTCAGTTGTGATCTAATGACCCAGAACTCAACTATTTTAAAATGCCAGAAGCCAGCTGCTATTTTGAAGCGAAGCAATGCCTTTGAAGTGACACAGTGTCTTTCTAAGCACTTTCGATGTTTTGTTAAGTCAATAGGCAAGTCAGGGGTCACCTACCCAATGGTGCTTTAAGCAACCCGCACCATAACAAAAAGCTGTTACAATGGGGTTCTACTGCAGCATCTATTGAGCAAACTCTTGGGAGGGTAGAGTCAGTTAGTATAAGTCTTAGAATGGCAAGGAAGAATAAAATGGTAATATTATAGCACTGCTCGACCAGGCTTGACCTTCAGACGAGGCTTTAAATAACTCCATAATTAACAGGTGTACAATTGTCTAAAGTGCCGTAATAATAATAATATTAATAATAAAGAAAATACAAGGATTATTATTAATGATAGACTGTCTAAAAAAACTCCTTAGGACTGGAAGCAGTAGAGAGTTAAGTTCAGCACATTCAATGCTCTATAATTTATATGCACAATACAAAATGTTCCATTCTACTATTTGTTGGTGATGCAACTCACCAGCTCCTTGATGTCTCCCAACAAGTACATCTGCACCCACCATACATCCCATTCCCAACAGGCAAATGCCAACTCCAATGAAGTGAAGAGCCTTGTATCTCACCAACAAGAAGAACCAAGACAGCAACAGCACCACTGGAATAACAAAACAGTCCAGTAGCTGAAACACAAACAAGAAACCACAAAACATTACTGACATATACAAAAAACTGTTTACAGAAAAACAGTACATTACACTACACAGGAGAGGTATCTACTACCTTGACATTGATTATCTGTGAATAACTTTGAGATGTTTTGACATTTTAGAACGCTGCATCACATGCAATGATCCTTATTATTTTAAGTTCCATTTCTTCTGCAATATCTTCAACATGATTCCAATATAATTTTTGTACCATGATTCTTTATTTTAAATTTCAAACAAGAGTTTTTTTTAAATAAAAACTGAAAATTGATCTCAATCAGCTCATTGTCAAGACCTGAAAGCTTAAGTGTAACTGAACTGAAGTTACACAAAAGAAGGTTGAAGTTCCCACTCTGATATTTTTCCATAATCAGCACAATTAAGACATAGGCTTTAGGGTATTTCATAGTTAAATGAAAATCAGTTTAACTCTAAAAGTTTGAAATTCCGATACATAAACATTGAAAGAGTAAAGGTCAGACTGGAAGTTTTTATACTGTAACTGTGCAGTTGCATTTAGATATTCCTGGGGAGTTGTACATGTTCTCTGACGTCATTCGGCAGGTGGGACGCAATGCAACTAACCACAGACTGGCATATGAGCTGCTATCTAATTAGGCAGATCAGTCATTACGCAAGGGGAAGGAGCTTCTCAAGGCTAGAGCTCAGCATTATCCACCCCACCCAGGTACAAGTATTTTATTAGCACTTGGTTATAAGCGATTCCATTATGAATTCACAATCTCAAGCCCTGACTCCTGATGCTGTGTCTTGCAACACCAAACTCCATCCATCCCTGTCAATGGCCTTCCCAGTAGCTCTGAGCTGGAGGAGAAACGGCAAAAAACATTATAGCCACTTTGTTTATAATCGAACACAAGCTTATAATAATCATTTTATAATAGCATATTTCGCTTTGGGAGGACATCCCAAAGCACTTCTCAGGATATACAGGAAACTGGAGTGACTGTGTATGTGGAGTCCTGTAGTTCAGTGATTAGAGCATGCGCCTCGCAAGTGAGAGACTTGAGTTTGATTCCTGGCAGGGCGAAACATTGGGCAAGTTTCCTTACACCACATGCCTCTGTTTACCTAGCAATAAAGGAATCCAGTTGTTAGTCAATTGGCAGATTGCTTTTTCAGGGCTAATAATTCCTTCAAAAAAATGCACCGAATCCACGACTGTTTGTGGGACACTGCAGTGTGCAATTGGCTGCCGCGACTCGTGCACAAAATATACAGTCAATTCTCTTTACAGTGTGTTCTGTGAAGCGCTTTGGGACGTCCTCCCGAGGTGAAAAGCGCTATATCAAATGCAAGGATTATTATTATTATTCTGTGAATTGCTTTGAAACGTCTCAAAGACGTGATAAGGCGCTATATCAAATGCAAGAATTATTATATATTATTATTATTTGTAGGTGAACACAGCAGCCCAATTGCACACAGCAATATCCTACAAATGGTCATGAAATGAATGAGCAATTTTATTTGGGGGATGGATTGGCCAGGATACCAGAATAAATTCTTTTTATGGTATCCTGGCCAATCCTTCTCTTTTTGAATAGTACTATGGGATCTTTAAAGTACACTTGAAAAGGCAGATAGGAACTTGTTTTATTTCTCATCCGAAGAATGACACGTCCGACAATGTAAACACCCCACTAGTACTGTATTGTAGTGTCAGTTTAGTCTATATGGGATCAAGTCCTGAAATGGGCTTGAACCCACAACCTTTTGACTCAGAGGCGAGAGTGTTACCAACTGAGCCAAGCTGACACATCATTCTTACCACAGAACGCCAAAGGGCCTCGGATTAACCTTTCATCCAAAGAACGTCACCTCGAAAAATGGAGCACACTACCAGCGCTGCACTGAAGTGTCATCTTAGACAATATGAGTTCCAAGTCCTAAAGTAGGGCTTGAACTCACAACCTTCTGACTCAAAGGCAAGAGTGCTACCAACTGACCCAGACTGACACACGATTATTATGCATCATGAAAGAAATGCAATAATAATAAAAATATTTTTTGCATTCGATATAGAGCCTTATCATGTTGTCAAGACGTCTCAAAGTGCTTCACAGAATATAATGCCAATTGCGTTCAGCAGTATCCCACAAACAATCGTGGATTGAGTGAGCAAATTATTATTTTCTTTTTATGAAGGGATTATTACTATTACCCCTGGAAAGCAATCCTTCAAACGACTAACAACCGGTTTCCTACTTACTGCTGGATAAACAGAGGCGTGCGGAGTAAGGAAACTTGTCCAACATTTTGTTCTGATGGGAATTAAACCCAGATTTTGCGCTGCCTGGGAAACAAACCCAAGTTCTCTTGCTTGCAAGGTGAGTGCTCCAACCAATATGCTAGCGGACTTATGTACAATTTATATTGGAAACAGCCACCTAGTATTCAATAGTCAAGTATGAGTTAAATGGATTAGTGGATTGTGGACCTGCTCACTATATAAAGGAACTACTTTGATACAAGCTGATATATTGCTCAAGAAAAAGAACCTGTGATAAATACTTGGAAATCATATTGAAAAATCAAAGTAAGGGTCTGGCATGAAAGAGGAAATCTTCAGGCTGTTAAGATTGTATCTTAATTTAAAGAAAGAGATCATTCTACGAGGAGCAGTTTTGCTACTAATTAAAGAAGTGGCTTCTCACCCAGGCTGCTGAGCTCAAGTACTGAGCAGATGTAGAAAGTCTAGGTCTATCTAACTTTGATATGTACTTAAAAAGTATGATTCTGTTAAAGTCTTTATCAGTTTTAAAAGTTAAAAGCAGAGTCTATTTTTTCAGTAAAGAATCCCATACATTGGGAAATGGTGAAAATCTATTCCATTATTTAGTACTCACAGCAGCAGGATGCTGGCTTGAGAATCGGCATTATTCTTAACAATCGTGCAGAGTTCATATTTATATCATTGGAAATGAATATTAACCCTTTCATGGCTTTCATAATACACCACATTCATCCTTTATATTAGCAGGCCTCTGGGGGAAAATAGAGATGTTCTGCAATTGCTTCCAATGTTGATTGAAAAGCAGGATTTGAAAATAATACAGGAATATTTATTGCACTCGAATCAATTTGTTTCCTTGGATTACTTTAGGAGATGAATTATTTTATAATTTCCATTCAGTAGTAGCATGTCACCAACAACATGCATTTATATAGTGCCCTTCAAGTAGGGTAATGTCTTGGAGCACTGCACAGGAGCAGGGTTGGACATTGGGCAAGGGAGAAGAGGGAGGAGGAGATGAATATAAGTGCAGTCAAAAAGGTAGGTTTTCAGGTGGGATTCAAAGATAAGGAGAGGACGACGTGGAGGCATTGAGTTCCAGAAAATAGTGGTGTAGTGGCTGATGGCTCGGCAACACACATCCCTTTGTTTTACTATTAATTGAGCTTGGCAAGCATGTTAGATAAATTAATTTTAGCTTGAATAATATTTTCCTTAATGTTATCTTCACATTTTTTTCTTACGCCACTATTCAGAGTATAAATATTTATAATGTAATTCATCTGGAACAGGGAGAGAATTTTAATTTTTCAAAACATTGCATAATGCACATGTAACACGATAGGATATAAACGTGTTATTGTTTTTGTTTCTCCCGCTGAGAAGGATCCTGACCAGTTCTCAATTTATTCCATAATTTGTAAAAAGAAGGAAATTACAAATTGCAACCTGGCTCATGAATTATGGCACAAAACTGCCACTGCAGCTGAAAAAGAATTTAATAATCCTCTTGCACAATAAATAAACTGCAGGAATTAGAAGAATGGATTAGCTTTTCAGTTAGCATCCTGCATTCAAAGCACCATTCAAAGCAACACTAATAGAGCTATTTCAAATATAACTAGAGTTTTAAGCAGGTTGTATGAAAACCAACCTGACGTTTAAGGAGAATACATGTTTACTGCATTTGCTAATTTGAAAAACACATTACTGAGGTCCTTAACAACAATGTGCATTTATATAATACCCTTCATGTCGGATAACGTCTCAGACCACTTCAAAGTGATGGGGTTGGGAACCGAGCAAGGCAGAAGGGGGAGGTGATGATAGGTGGAGAGATGGAGGCAGGAAGAGGTTAGGGGGTAGGGACTTCAGGTTCAGCATGCAAATATCTTAGGAAATGCTGGATATGGGTCTTTAGGAGATATCTGAAAGCAAGGGGAGAGGCAGCAAAGTGAAATGGTTATGTAAGGTAGAACAGGTAAAAGTGGAACCATGAGAAGACAGGGCCGCTGAGGAAGGGAAATAGGGGAGAACAGAATGGTCAGAAAGACAAAGGAGGAGATGCTGCCAAGCTCCAATTATGTGATGTGTTTGGACAGGACAGTCTCAAAATAAATATCACTCTTTCCCATTCTTAGTGAATAATTAATGTGCTATGGGTGAGGTGTGGGGCTGGGGGGGGGGGGGGGGGAGAAAGGGGATGGTTATGGACATAACAGTGCAGAGTTTGAATACTGTAGTATTTGGATTCACACAGTGAATACTTACAGAAGGACATCTGGACTTCACTGTAAATTTAATAGAAATCTGTCCTCAGCTATTTTGGGATACACAATGTTTTTTCTTCTTCTGTATTTTGAAAATTTGAACTATTTAAAGATATTTTCTTTTAAACCTCTTTCCTCACTCCCCTCTCTACTTCAGGGCCCTAAACATTCTCCCATTTGGGTCACATTTCTTTTCAAACAGATGGAATCTTCTCCAAAAGGAATTGTCACTCCTGAGTAACATGTCTACAACCCTTAATCTCTTGTTCGGCTATGTGTCTGCAGCAGATTGGGGTGGGAATAACTACAGTACATCCTTTACAGGGTTTTGGGATATCCTGAGAGGCTTTTCCTTCCTTTAACAGTCATCTAAATGTAGCTGAAAGATTGTGAAGTGGTAGGAAAGGGAGCACCTATCAGACAAGGTTGAATATGCCATAATGAAG